TCAGTCCTTGAGATATCAGGTGACGAATAATTTCCTTTGCCTGTTTCAACTCCCTTCTGAAAGGGTAGGGTTCGTAATGAATATATAGAGTAGCGCTCAAAAGTCTTCAGCTAAATGCTTCGTTAGTTGTACTCTTCGGTCGTAACTCCTTTCCTACTGGAGTGGATGTTGCTCCTCTGCAGTCAAATAGTATCAGATAGTGGGAAATATACTTTAGTTGAGCATATCAAAATTTGTGCGATTTGCTTCACTGAGAAAAAGGTAATGAAAGAAAAAGAACAAGAGCTTTTGACCGAAAGCTTTTGAGCGATACTGTAAGTGTCGTTTGAAGAACTGAGTTTAAAAAATGGTATTTCGAGTTTTTTCCTGTACCTCAGTGGATACGCAGGAGTGGAGGAGGAAAAGGGGACATCTAGTTCCGGCATACGGTAATGTATGACCCTAACCATAGTTAGCTGTCTGGTGAATTCCTTAATGGCCTTATTCATGAGTTCTATGCTGTTCGACTAGAGAGATAACTTGTACAGCCAACATAAACGGACTAGTGAGTAAACTAGCTACCGGTCAACGCCGTAGCGCCACGGGTGTGTGTCAAGTCATGCGTCCGAGGGGGCGCGCGGCAAATTGCGCGGCTAAGTTCGTGGTGAATTTGGACGACTCCGCCGCCTATCATTGGGGCCGAAATCTGAAGCAGGGTAGATTAGTAAGGTCATCTGATCCTACTATTTTACTGTACTTCAAAATTGGGCCCAAATAATAGGCGCTAAAGTCGTCAGAATAGGTGTGAATTTCGCCGCGCCATTTNGGGGGGTTGGACGAGTTTCAAGCAGGAAGAACGGCGTAAAGGCAGTGGTTGGGCGAGCTGACGCTCTGCTTTGCGTCTCTGACACCAGACGGCAGAGAGTTAGAGATCGCGCTAGAGCGTAGAGATGGTTTGATGCTCAGCGAGGTAATCATCTCACCCACCCCGGCTCTCCTCCCCTACCGCGGTATCTATGCATTCTGCGGTCTGGTGTCAGAGACGCAGAGCGCAAAAGGGCACTGGTACTCCCCAACTACATTTTCACCTTCTAATTAAAACACTTACCTGATTCACTCGAGAATAGCAGTGAATAAATCCTCTCGGGGGTAATATTCGATATGGACTGCAGCAGCAAAAAGAATGACAGACGGCGATCAACTGATTGCGTGCTGAACATGTGGGTCCTGGGGCGAATATTGCAATCTGTATCGACTCGACTCTCGTCTGACACACCATGATTGAGGGGCGGGGAACCGGGGCGATCCGATAACGGGCTCCACTATGCCCTACCTGTTGAGTTATTGGACCCGACAGCATCCTTCCTGTTAACCTTAGGGGCCACTAGGTAATCCTAGAGTGGAACTCAAAACCCTTTTCTTCGTGAACTGTGCCTCTAAGGATTTGCATTTGCAAAAAAAGGTTTAGTTTGATATAGCACCTACTTTGGGGGGTAATTGAGGCTCTTGCTTTTTTTGAGGTTGACTGGATGCCCTGGCGGTCTTGTCCTTCGCACCGAGTTCAGTCCTTGAGATATCAGGTGACGAATAATTTCCTTTGCCTGTTTCAGCTCCCTTCTGAAAGGGTAGGGTTCGTCATGAATATATAGAGTAGTCAGTCTTCAGCTAAATGCTTCTTTGATTGTACTCTTCGGTCGTAACCCCTTTCTTACCGGAGTGGATATCGCTGCTCTGCAGTCAAATAGTATCATATAGTGGGAAATATACTTTAGTTGAGCATATCAAAATTTATGCGATTTGCTTCACTGAGAAAAAGGTAATGAAAGAAAAAGCACGAGAGCTTACGGCCGGAAGCTTCTGAGCGATACTGTGTGTGTCTTTAAAAAATGGTCTTTCGAGTTTCTTCCTGTACCTCAATGGATACGCAGGAGTTATTCCTATACCCAGTGGATACGCAGGAGTGGAGGAGGAAAAGGGGAGGGGACATCTAGTTCCGGCATATGGTAATGTATGACCCTAACCATAGTTAGGGAGAACGTCCGCTGCGCGTGTCCGTCGAAAGTAGGTCACCCCGCCCACTCCGCGCGCGGCGCATCACACTGAGGTCTCGAGATGACATTACAGTACCACCAAGTGTCATTGGAG